CCATGCCCCTGAGCTGATGTCCATCCAGTCTGCGCAGACCAGCTGAGGGGCTGTAGGCCCACGCAGACCTGGGCAGGTGCACTTACTTTGGAAGGAGGCAGGCTGACTCTTCAAAGATAGGTGCCTTTCTTTCAGACAGAGGGACAGGGGAGGAAGGGGATGCAGCTCTGGCCACGGGTGTTCAGTTAGGACATTGTCCTGCCCAAGGGAAGTGGCTGACTGAGGTGCCATGGGTCAGTGTGCGTCCTGAAGCTTCTATGCCTCAGGGAAAGATGAAAGTGGGTGTCACCAAGCTGTTTTTCTAATGATGTGTTTTTTCAGATTGTGAAAGTATGTTATGCTTATCATAGAAAACTTGAAATATATAGAAAACATAAAGATACAAATTGCTTACAACCTTGAAGTCCAGAAGCAGCTCCCCATATTTTGGTTATTTCCTTCTGGTTTCGTGTCATAATTTTTCTTTTTGAGACAGAATCTTACTCTGTCACCCAGGCTGGAGTGCAGTGGTGCGATCTCGGCTCGCCGCAACCTCCGTCTCCCAAGTTCAAGCAATTCTCCTGCCTTGGCCTCCCGAATAGCTGGGACTACAGGCTTGACCACCATGCCCGGCTAATTTTTGTATTTTTAGTAGAGATTGGGTTTTACCATGTTGGCCAGGCTGGTCATGAACTCCTGACCTCAGGTGCTCCATCCACCTCGGCCCCTCAAGGTGCTGGGACTACAGGCGTGAGCCACCACACCTGGCCCGTGTCATGATATTTTAAGAGTTACATTTATTGTACAGAGTTTTTCTTTGAAAATTAAACTGACGATTTTGAAAAAAACATAACAGCGACATTGTTAGCCAGAATTTCTCACCAACCCAGCCTGCTAATTCCAGAGCAGTGGAAGGGCAGAGTGGGCTTGGGCAGTCCCACGGCTCATTATCGGGAGCCGGGGTACTCTAGAGGCTGCTGGGGCAGAGCGTGCAAGGGAGGAGGCCAGTTAGCCCCATGTGTTCCTCCCAGCTGCACACACCTTCTGTGTGCAGTTGTGCTTTCTGATTTGAAAAGAAATACATGCTCTGATTTGAAAAGAAAATTTGGGAAATGTTCAAAAGGAGAAACACATCCAGAGCTCCATGTGAGTCCTGGCGTCTGCTGCACTGTGCTGTTGTCCCAGGCTACTGGGGATAAAGGGAGGAAGGCAGCCGCTGACCAGTGGTAAAACCTGCTCTCCCTCTCCCCACTGTCCGAGTTTTCCTTAGAAGGGCTGGGCTGTGTGTGAGACACAGAGGGAAGCCCTGTGGACACAGGGGTGGCCCTGCCAGTGCACCAAGGCTGGTGACTCTGCAGTGAGACCGACCAGCGTTCAAGATAGCTCTGCCTCTTTCTGCCTGTGTGGCCTTGGGTGAGCCAGAATGTGGCCCTGTGCCTCAGTGTCTGTACCTCTGAGAGGGGGATAGCAGTGCCTGCCGGGAGGGTCCTGTGAGGGTGAAGTGGAAGCCAGAGGAGCAGGAAGAGGCTGCCTCCCTCCCGCCAGCACGTAGGGGACACTCGGGGGGCATCTGCTGTGAGACCAGCCTGGCCTCCCAGCTGGAGAGTGGACATGGGCAGGGGCTTGCTGCGATGTCCTCCCGGGTCAAGTGACCATCCTTCCCTGGTAACCAAGTTCTGACACCTTGCAGGAGACTTCCTCAAAAGCTTGCCCGGCAGAGCTGGCTGGGGTCAAAGCGGCACTGACAGCTCTGGGTGGGGCGCACGAGGCCTTGACCACATCCTGTCCCTCAGGCATCACGTCCGAGAATGAGCGGGAGGTGAGGCAGCTCTCCTCCGAGACTGACCTGGAGAGGGCCGTGCGCAAGGCAGCCCTGGTCATGTACTGGAAGCTCAACCCCAAGAAGAAAAAGCAGGTGGCCGTGGCGGAGCTGCTGGAGAACGTTGGCCAAGTCAATGAGCAAGGTACGTGGACTCACCCCAGGCGCCAGCCTTCCCACAGGGGCCATGACCTTCCCACAGGGGCCACGACCTTTCCTCAGGGGCCACAACCTTCCCACAGGGGCCGGGACCTTCCCACAGGGGCCGGGACCTTCCCTCAGGAGCCAGGACCTTCCCACAGGGGCCACGAGCTTCTCACAGGGGCCAGGACCTTCCCACAGGGGTCGGGACCTTCCTTCAGTGGCTGTGACCTTCCCACAGGGGCCGTGACCTTCCCACAGGGGCCAGGACCTTCCCACAGGGGCCGGGACCTTCCCTGTGAGGACAGGGACCTTCATTGTAGGGACAAGGAGACCAGAGCCTTCCCATAGAGACTGTGTCCTGGTGGGGAGGAGTGTGGGTAGCATTTTGACAACATCGGCCCTGGCTCAAGTGCTCACTCATTGAACAAACCAGAGGCTATTCTGCCCAGTGCTCTGTGACCATGTCCACCAATGGGAGGGACTGCGTCCGTCGCCAAGTGGGAGCACGCTACAGGGCGCTGAGTGCCCCTAGCAGCTGGAGGTATAGAGGTGTGACGGCCCCTGTGCCACCTGCTCTGAGGGCCCTGGGGTTGAACATAGGGTGCCCCTGGAATGGGCGTGCCCTAGAATGGTACGCCAGTTTCTGGTGGGCTGCAGGGCACAAGGAGATATTCAACCTGCCTGTCGGTCCACCTTGTCTGCTACAGATGGAGGAGCACAGCCAGGCCCGGTGCCCAAGACCCTGCAGAAGCAGAGGCGGATGCTGGAGCGCCTGGTCAGCAGTGAGTGTGAGTGCAGCCCTGTCCCGCCTCACCCGTGCCTCTCGGCCTGCGCCTGCAGGGCGACCTCTCCTTCCTGTGGGACCCCCCCATCCTGGCCCTGCCAGGATCTCAGGCAGTCCATTTGGGCGTCAGTGTTCTGGGTGCTAGGAGTGGACCCTGCCCACCTGGAATGCCTGTGCTGGAGGGAAGGCAGACACGGGACAGAAACCACGACATGCCAGTCCCTCCTGGACAGAGAAATACTGGAGATGGGGACCAGAGGGGGAGTCCCGAGTGGGGAACGATGAAGAGGGCGTTAGGGGAGGGGGCTCCAGGCAGAGGGAACAACATAAGCAAAGGCCCAGGAGACCCAGCAGGGTGCGGGAGGGGCTCCGCCCCATCACGGGCCCTTTATAGGTAGGCAGGGAATGGAGCAGACAGATCCTGCATGGGGGGATAGAGCCTCTGGGGCACACTGAGCTGGGGGTGCCTTTGGGATGTTTGTGCAGCTGCCCAGCCTCGCTGTCTTCCATCCACGTTGGGTAGATCTACAATCTGAGGCATTGGGAGCTCTGTCCTAGAGAAGATAGGCGAGGGGCTCAGGGGCTTAGTATCAACAGGGGGCTGGGCCCAGACACAGGTCTGCCACATGCTCTTCTTGTGACATGGGCAGTTCTCATTTTCCTCTCTGGATCTCAGTTTGTTCTTCTGAACAGCAAGATGGTCCGACGAGGGGACTGAGGGACCTCGCCTATCCTAAGAGCCTCTGTGGTTATGGGGGTCAGAGTACAGGTGTGAGCACAGATCCCACCTTCCTACCAGGCCAGTGAGGAAATGGTCCAGAAGGTGTGGTGGGAGCCCTCGCCTCCGCGTGGGAGGACGTGGTCCAGAAGGTGTGGTCGGAGCCCTCGCCTCTGTGTGGGCAGACATGGGTGCTTGGGCTTCCGTTTTCCTGCTCCATTTGGGGGAGACAAACACCTCACATGGAAATGGAAAGAAATCTGTGACTCTTGGAAACCCAAGGAACAGAGAGGCGGTGACAGTGTCTTGCCACCGAGGTAGCACGGTGCCTTCTGTCCTGAAGTGAGGCACCTCTGGGCAGGAGCAGCCGAGCCCGGGTCTTCATCCTGGGTGGCAGTGCAGACAGTCTAGACCCCAGCCTCACTTCCCATCCCGTGGGCATTTGTGATGAGCCAGGCACCCCTGCCGCTAGGCCCTGTCACTGTTATGGGGACGAGTTAGGAGTCAGCACGAGCAGCCTGTGGTCCCCTCCCCAAGGCCCTCTGGGACAGCGCCCCAGCAGCCGCATTGTGTCCCCCTCATCAGAATGTTCCCATCAGGCATCACCTGTTCCTCTGCCTGCTTTTCCAACAGAACTCCCAGAAATGAGTGTTTGTCATCCCCCTCCTGTGTTCTCAGGCCTTTCCCACATTATTCCACCAAAGTGGCTCATCCAGGCCATCAGTGACACCCTTGCTGGGTCACTTCTTGTTTTTGTCTGACCTGATCCATCAGCAGCATGGGCAGAAGTGACTGCTCTTCTCCTTAGAACCCTTTCCCCACTGGGCCCGGTCCCCTTGCTGCCACACAGGCTACTCCTTGGGATCTCTAGACTGATGTCCTGTCTCCCAACCCTCTGGACATTGGCATTGCCCCAGGTGTTCGTCCCTGTGAGGACAAGGGCCTTCCTTGTGGGGACCAAGGTCCTCCCATAGGGAACGTGCCCTGGTAGGGAGATGTATGGGTGGCACTAGTGACCACTCCCTTGTGTCAGATGCTGTCCTTGACCACAAGCACCCAGCCCGCCCAGACGGCATCCAGCCCATGCTCCTTTCATGTCTCCTATACCTGGTTGTCCCGCTCAGCTCACATGTTTTCACAGTGAGCTGCTGAGGCCTGTGCCAACTGCCACCTGTGCGGGCTCCCCACCAATGCTACCTCATCGCTCTTTGCTGCCACTGCATCCTGGGTGCTGCCCCGTCTCCTCTCCTCTTGCACACACAGCCAATCCATTAGGAGATCTATCAGCGTCCACCATCATGGCTGCCATCTTGGATGCAGCCTGTCTCCTCCCTAGGGTTTCTGCAGCACCCTGGCTGGTCTCCCTCTGCCCTACCCCAGCATGTCCTTTCTTTCCCATCCTTCTCATGGAGGCCCTCCTGGATACCATCTCACCCACAGCAGCTGGGGTCCTTCAGGGGCCTTGTTTCCTTCTTGCGGATCATGTTGGATAGAGGGTGTCAGTGGGCAAGTAGTAGGCTCTCGGTGGATCGTGTTGGATGGAGAGGTCACTGGGCGCGTAGCAGGCTCTTGGTGGAACATGTTGAATGGAGGGGTAAGTCGGCCTATAGCAGGATGCATGTTGAATAGACGAATTAGCAGGCATGTAGTAGGCCCATGGCAGACACATGTTGGATGGAAGGGTAGCAGGCGCATAGTAGGCGTGTGGCAGATCATGTTGGATTGAGGGTTAGCGGGCGCATAGTAGGCGTGTGGAAGGTTAGCAGGCACATAGTAGGCGTGTGATAGATCATGTTGGATGGAGGGGTTAGCGGGCACATAGTAGGCATGTGGCAGATAATGTTGGATGGAGGGTTAGTGGACGCATAGTAGGCGTGTGGTAGATCGTGTTGGATGGAGGGGTTAGTGGGCGCATAGTAGGCATGTGGTAGATCGTGTTGGATGGAAGGTTAGCGGGTACATAGCAGGCGTGTGGCAGATCGTGTTGGATGGAGGGTTAGCAGGTGCATGGTAGGCGTGTGGCAGATCATGTTGGATGGAGGGTTAGCAGGTGCATGGCAGGCCCTGGTGGATCATGTTGAGTGGAGGGGTTTGTGGGCTCAGAGTAGTCCCTGTGCAGATCATGTTGGATGGAGTGGTTGGCAGGGCGCTGGCCCACAGAGCGGCTTGTCACCTATGTTATGAGAAGCCCCACGCCAGCTGGAGGCAGAGGAAGGTGACAGCATCCACTGGAGATGCAGGTTGTAAGTCTTAGCAGGTGAGCTGGGCTGAAAGGTGTGGGTGAGTGGCCCCAGGCATGAGGAGCTAAGCAGAAAGGGACACTTGGGAAGGGGGCAGCACACCCAGGGGCTGGGAGTGGAGGCTGGCACTCAGCAGACCTGCCCCTTCCTCCTCACCCAGCCTGGTCCTCACGCCTCAGGCCACCCAGGGAAGGATTTTCTTCCACCTGAACCCCCTCAGCTCCTTTCTTCGCTTGGCCCCACTCCGCTGTCCCCGGCCCATCCTCTGTGTGAGGGCGGCAGTGGGGCTGCAGTGTGAGGCCCCCGTGCTGTTTTCTCTCATGCTTCAGCCAAGAACTACATCGCGCTGGATGACTTTGTGGAGATCACTAAGAAGTATGCCAAGGGCGTCATTCCCAGCAGCCTGTTCCTGCAGGACGATGAAGATGATGATGAGCTGGCGGGGAAGAGCCCTGAGGACCTGCCGCTGCGCCTGAAGGTGAGCGACCGAGACCCCGGCCAGGCCAGAGCCTGCCTCCCAGGGACTCATGCACCTTAGGCGGGGCACCTTCCGGGAAGCTGCAGGTGGGGAGGTCCTCGCCTAACAGAGTGTCCTAGAACCGTGCTGCTGGTACCTCGGGGCATCAGCTGTCCTCATAAGGATGTGTCCTTGGGAGGGAGGCCGTTTTGTTCTGAGCTGTCATGCTTGGAAACCAGGCAGTGTTGGGCAAGAGTGCTGGGATGACAAGCACTGGTCTTTCTGTGCACAGCACAGTGTGGGGGCAGTGGGGCGGGGCTGGAGGCCAACTCTCATCTAGACTTGGTCACTTAGCAGAATTCCCTGTGTGTGGTCCAGAATGGAGGTCAGTGCCTTGAAGATGCCTTCCCCCAAGACAAAGAGCTCATGTCCATCAGGCCAGGGAGGCTGTGCAGAGGCGCCCACTGCCCCCAGATCTGCAAGGGCTCAGGGAGCGAGGCCCAGTGTGGGAGCGTGGTGGGTGACACTTGTGCAGGGTGACCGTGGGCACACCTGGCTGGCGTGAGCAGGCGAAAGCAGGGAGTGGGAAGCCCAGCGATGCGGGCTCCTCCTGGCCTGACAGCTTTTCTTGCTTTTCTTGGCCATGTGGCCCTATGGCCCCTCACAATTGCCCCCGGTTCAGCTTGCATAGGTAAATTAGATGCCTGCCTATCTCACTCTGCAGAGAACAGCAAGATTTCCAGAGGCTTGGCCTCCTGACCCAGGATCCCCAGGCTGAGGCCAGCACAAGGGGCCCCAGCAGATGATTTGTCATAGCTACCTGTGGGCAGTATCATGCAGGCACCCTGGGGCTCTGTCTTCTGAACTGACTGTGAACATGGAGGAACTGCTATCTGTGTTCAGATGGGTGCATGAGTCAGGGCCAGGACCAGGATATGGTTGGGCCACAGCTGTCAGGCAGGTCACCATCCTGGAGTCAGGGAGAGGGTCAGAGCAGGAACCCAAGTGCTGCAGGAGCGGCTTAGCCCAGAGAGCAGCGGGCACGACAGTCCCACTCCAGGGACTCAGAGCCTGACGGGTCTGAGTGTGATCCCCCTGAATGCCCAGAGCTGCAAGTCCTCTAGGGTGGCAGGTGGAAGGCTCTGCCCTTCCTGCTTGGGACAGGCAGTATGTCTAGGCACAACACCAACCAGTCTTCAGAGGCTCTGAGACACAGGCCAGGATGGCCAAGAGCTTGAACCAAGGGAGCACATGGCTTTTACTGACGGTCCACTCAGAGCTGGCCCTAGGCAAGCATATTCACATACCGGGTCCATCGTCTTACTAACAGAAGAGGAGGAAGCTGGGGTGCTGGCACGGTTTTGGCAAAGACATTCCCAAAATGCCAGTAAGGGTCACAGATGAAAGGGTAACTTGGAGAAGACCCTTTGGGCCAGGAGGCCATGGCCTGGGTGTCCCGGTTTATGTCATCCTGGCGTAAGTACTGTTATAATAATGCCTCCTCACGTATGCATCCTGTTTGGGAAATTTTATGTCACCTACTTACAGGTGGTGAGTCAGTGTTGTGAAGCATCCGAAAGTCCTATTTATTTGTGTTACTTCATGACAGGGTCTCATTCTGTTGCCCAGGCTGGAGTGCAGTGGCGCAGTCACAGCTCACTGCAGTCTCAACATGCCAGGCTCAAGCGATCCGCCCCACCTCAGCCTCCCAAAGAGCTGGGACTACAGGCATGTGCCACCACACCCAGCTAATTTTGGGGAAAAATTGGGTAGCAATGGTGGTCTCACTGTGTTTCCCAGGCTGGTCTCAAACTCCTGGGACCGGTGAGCCTCCCACTTTGGCTTCCTAAACTGCTGAGATTCAGGTGTGAGGCACTGTGTCCAGGCTGAAAGTCCTTTTTAGAAGGGAGAGATTTAAACTCTTCTGACAAGAGATAAACAAGGCTCTGTTTCCCTTCAGTTTTTGAAGCTTCAGCACTTTGATTCCTTCACAGTTTGTCTTCTTAGGAGTCTCTTGTGAAGGGAGGCAATGAATCGCCACAAGCATCTCCCAGGGCTGAGAGCTGTTCCAGCTTTTAGCAGCCTTTTGCAGAACAAGGAGAGGTCTTAACCCAAAGTGAAAATGACAGACGCCTTTTTGTGAGCCAGCCTTACTCCCACAAAGAATGTTCCAGACTCCACACAGCTCTCTTCTGGAGCCTGGATGGGCAGGGTGTCATTGTAGATAAAATCCTCTGAAAACAAACTTAATAATATCTTAAAATCCTAACATTTTTAACATTACGTAATTGGAAGAGCCAACACGGGAACATTTTTGCCAAGAGGTTTTGAGCAGAATCTGGTCTCGGCTCCCTTCCCCAGCCTGTCTTCTTCACGGGTCTGTTCAACTGCCTGCGTGGTGACGCTGCTTCCTGGTTTCTCTTGGGAGCAGAAGGGCCGATTACTGCGGGCCCAGACAGAGAGCTCTGCAATATTCTATTCATAGAAGTAGATTCCTCCCTCATATTTTTTAAATTTCTTTATTTTTCCATCTCAAGAGTTGAATTTGTTTGGACCTTCTCTGCAGAATAGGCGACTCAACTTTTTAGTCCCATATCAGAGGAAGATCTTGGGTGGACGCTGCACGGAGCAGAAACTGGAGCTTTAAAAAGGGGATTATTCCCTGCTCATTGAGCCCAGGTGTGGGGCCAGCCCCTCCACTCTGTCGGAGCAGAGGCTAGATGCCATCTAACGTAATGTTCTAGAATCTTCCTTGTCTTTTAAAGGTCCTCTCAACCAGGTGGGTTGTATGTGTTCCTCTAGGCAAAACAATGTGCATGACTTTGAGTAAGATGGGATTTCAGATTAATTTTTACCAAGGCCACCCCCTGGCTACTGTGCCAGTCGTGCGTGAGACGGTGGTGAGCAGTGGCGGCCTGGGGCAAACTTTAGTTGTCCTGCTGTTAGCAAGGTCCCCACACAGGGATTAACTGAGCAGCCTGCCGGCTGACGCACATGTTGACTCACTTCTAGCTGTTGATTTTAGCTGCTGGCCTGGCGTCATGCTCAAGGGGCTTGCCCCAGACAAATCCTGGAGGAGGTTCATTTTCATAAGTGCCCTCTGGCTCTCTGGCAAGCATTGGAAATGCCCTCACACGCTGCAGTGCGTGGTCTTCCCAGTCTCCGCTAGCTGTCTCCTGGCAGTGTGAGTACCTCTCTGCTCATGGAGAAGGTTGTTCACCCCAGAGAGAGCTGGGGGGACTGTTAGCTGCTTTCATACTTTGTTGGCTTGTCATAAAACAGAGATTAAGTGTACTGTCACAAATATATACAAAGCAACCGAGCTGTTCCCCCACATGTGTGTGTAGACGTGCATGCACACGCTCCTCAACCCCTCCGTTTGCCCCATGAGCCTGGCCCTCTCATCTGTGGAAGACTCGGTCTTCTGGTTGCTTCCAGGTGTTCTAGTCATCCAGAGCTGTTAGCCAAGGCTCTTGGCAGGTGAGGGCCGCATTCTGGTGGTGTCACCCAGTCGCCATTCACCTGGGATCACTCCTTGGCCCTCTGGTGCAGTGGCTGGAGAGAGCCTGCCCCAGGGGATTTGGGGGGCTGGTGCCCCAAGGCCCTGAGCTGATGGGGCGCAGCTGCCACTTCCTGTCTGTCGGTGCTCCAACCTGGCTGTCACGTAGCCCCTCAGTGGGCTCTGGACACACAGCCAGGCTTCCCTAACTCCAGGTGGGGCCACCCCCTGGGCATCTACTCCGTGGTGTTGGTCCAGGCGCCTGGCACTCCTGAAGATGCCCAGACCCTGCCCTGTGTGACATACCACACTGCATGAGCACTGGCACCATGGCCACTTTCTCCCCTCCCCGCTCCAGTCTCTCTGCCTGGCTCCCCCATGTTCTGGCAGGGCTCGGGGCCTCTGACTTCTGCACAGACCAGACAGGCATGGGGGCTGGCCCTGGGTAGCAGCACTGCTTCACCTGCTCCTGAGGCAGCTCCCAGCATCCCTCCCTCAGCTCTCTGCTCCTCTTGGCTGTGGTGAAGGCTGAGAGCTGCTTCTGACCTTAGTGCATGCAGAGCAGGGGAGCAGGACCCACAGGTGGGGGAAGGCAGCCTTTGCTCGTGGCTGTGTGGGACTGTGTCCCTATTATAAGCACCGTTGGGGCTGCATGGTGGTGTGAATGTATAAGTTCACATGTATAGCGTAGGTGTGCAGATGTGCAAGCGTGTTATGGTGGATTGCATGAGGTTGCACGTGTGTGTAGGAGCAGGTGTGCACATGAGTGTGCAGTGGAGTGGGTGTGCCCGTGAGTGTACACTCTGTGGGGGTGGGTTTGCAGGTGTGAAGGTGCACATGTGGGTAGGACTGGGTATGCACACATGTGAATGCACGTGTATAGGGGTGGGTGTGCACACATGCATGAAGAGGTGGGTCATATGTGTGTGAATGTGTACGGATGTATAGGGGTGGGTTGCATGTGTGTGTGAGAATGTGCGTGTGTGTAGGGGTGGGTTGCATGTGTGTGTGTTAATGTGGGTGTATTTGTGTAGGGGTGGGTTGTGTGTGCATGAGTGCGTAGGGGTGGGTTGCATGTGTGTGTGAACGTGCGTGTGTGTAGGGTTGTGTGTGTGTAAATGTATGTGTATAGGGGTGGGTTGCATGTGTGTGTGTGTGAATGTGTGTGT